TAGAGAAGGACTGCCGGCCAGGTATGGTGACTCATGCTTGCAATTTCAACACTTTGGGAGGCAGAAGTAGGAGGACTGCTTGAAGCCAAGAGCTTGAGATGAGCCTGATCAACACTGCAAGACTCTGTTTCTACAAAAATTTTTTTCAAAAAACAGTGCCGAGTCTGCGCTAGTGCCTTTTTCCATAGTACCGAGAATGTACCCAAGAGCACATTCTTCTTTCTTCCCTGGAAGCCACCAGGCAAATGGCCACAGGACTTGTTACACTCTTCAGTCAGCCAACACCTCAAGAGGACCTTTTCTGCCAAAGATGTTCTCTGAAAATGCCTGCTTCTCCTACCCCTATGGAGTAAGGCTTGTCTTAGGTGAAAAGCAAGAAAAAAAAAAAAAAAAAAACACCACAGGAGAGGACGGGCACAGTGGCTCATGTCTGTAATCCCTGCACTTTGGGAGGCTGAGGCGGGTGGATCACAAGGTCAGGAGTTCGAGACCAGCCTAGCCAAGATGGAGAAACCCCATCTCTACTAAAAACACAAAAATTAGCTGGGCACAGTGGCACGCGCCTGTAATCCCAGCTACTCGGGAGGCTGAGGCAGAGCACTGTCTAATTCAATTCAGGCTTGCTGGGACTTGGAGGTACCTACGCTGGGTCTGGGAAATGCTTTTGTGCCGTGGCTCTTTCTGACCTGGTCTGGAGGAAGCAGATCCTTGAAATCTAATCTGTTTAGATTAGATGAACCCAGGAGGCAGAGGCTGCAGTGAGCGGAGATCATCCCACTATACTCCAGCCTTGGTGACAGGGCAAGACTCTCCATCTCAAAAACAAACAGGAGAAACTGGACACAGGGAGTGACAAGCCCTCACTCCTGGTGCAGGGGCTGGGAACTGCCAGCTTCTGCCAGAACATTTGCAAGCATCCTTTCTGTTCATCGTACCATAACGATCGTAATAACACTCCACTCCATAACACTCAGCGTCATATTACATTGTTCAGTTCCAAAACACTGGATAAATGTTAATGCATCTTCACAATGCCTCCAAAAGCCATCAGAGAAATTGTGTTTCAAAAACATAATTTTACGTCCAAAAGCCAAGGACATAAAAGTACTGGAGGTTTCCAAATGAGTCACAGGTTTCAAGGGTCAGTGCAGGCAGAACAGCTCAGGAATAAACACCTACCTTGCCAAAGTCTCCTGTTCATTGCTGGGGAAACCAGCAAGAGCAATGAAAACATAAGCCTGGGCTGGCCAGCCAGCAGGTGCTAGAGAGGGCCTTGCTGTTGGTGGCTGTCCAGACAGCCAGGGGAACTCTGCACCAATCTCCTCCCTCCCAGTCCACCCCGCCATAGCAACCCCTAAGCTCTGCGTGGGGAGCACCCTGCCCCTCGTCTTACCCAGCCCCTCCTTCCTACACTTCCCTCCCTCCTGGTCTTCGTCCTTCAAAGGTGACACACAGGCTCTCCGGGGTGTCCAACAGGCACCTCGCAGCTCTCAGCAAGCCCAGCTGTGAACTACACCCCACAGCAGCCCGTTTGGAGAATGCAATGGGCAGCTCGGGAGCACTAATTCATCTCCGCTATCACTGGTCATTTTAAAGAGGGACACACATTTTCTTTCTTTTCTTAAACAACCCCTCACCACCCTCCATCTTTCTTCTCCATCCCTGACTCCGTTCTCAGAATATGTGCCCCCGATGACACTCATTAGAGATGAGAGAATGCTGGTGAAGGCTGCGCTGTTACAAAACAGCATCCCATTCTGCAGTCATTCTCCAGCAAAGAGGACCCTCAGCCTTTTCACAGGTGAGGAGAGAGATTCAGAAAGAATGCAACCTCCCCAGTGTGACTCAGCTCACGTGCCCACACGGACTTCGGGGGTGCTATGGTCTGAATGTTTGTGATTCAGTTTCACAAATTCCTATGCTGAAACTGAATCTTCAACCAATGGCATTAGAGGTGGGGCCTTTGGGAGGTGATTAGGTCACGAGGGTGCAGCCTTCATGAATGGGATCAGCGCCCTCACAAGAGAGGTTCCAAGGAGCCCGTGTGCCTCTCCCACCATGTGAAAATGCAGCGAGAAGGCACCACCTATGAGGAACGGTGAAACCAGACATTCAATCGGCCGACAACTTGATTTTGGACTTCCAACCTCCAGAGCAACTAATTTGTTGTTTCCACAGCAGTCAGTTTATGGTATTTTGTGATAGCGGCCCAGACAGACTCAGACAAAGAGCACTAAGGAGTGAGTTTCACAGTGCGACAACCAGCTGGAAAGTACAGAGAAGGAGAAAGAGCAAGTGAGGCATCTAGAAGATGATATTAAAGATTAGCTCCAGGAACCAAGGACATAAACCAGCATGGTGAACCTCAAATACACTACCAAGAAAAGGAAGATCGAAAGATACAAAGGATTACCACTTATGACCGTTTACCGGTTTATCATATGAATGAAGGCTATGATGGATTCAGATGAGCAGCCTGATGAAAGCGACACAGGGCGAGGTCTGGAAGATTCTGGCGTGCAAGAGCTTCTGTCCCCACAGAGTTGGGGTCTGCCACCCTCCAGGCATGTAGGCGTGTTACCAACCAGGAGGCTTTCAAAACCCCATACTTTGGGGATTTCTGTGAAGGTCTCGTCAAGGAGGCATGATGGATATTAACTCTACTTCAACCTCTCTCCCCTCTCTGGAAAATGGAGGATGGAGCTGGAAGCTCCAAGCTTCTAATCATGGCTTGGTCTATCTGGTGACCAACCCCTACCCAGGAGCCCATTAAGAGTCACCTTGTCAGGACAAGGGCAGCCGCGCTGCTATAACCAGGAAATCCCAAGGGATTTAGGAGCCATGTGTCAGGAACCAGGGTCAAAGATCAAATGCTACTCCTACCACCCAGGAAATCCCAAGGGATTCAGCAGCTCTGGACCAGGTGCCCTCATCACTCTGCAAATTATAAAGATTCTAGAAGCTCTGTGTCAGCAACCAGAATCAAAGACCAAATATTAGAACAAAGATTCTCTGAGCACCCTTACCTGCAAGGGTTTTAGAAGTTCTGTCTCAAGAACCAGACAGTAAGACCAATAAACACATATACATTTCTTATTATTTCACAGTATTCAACAAACATCATTATCAAAAACAATGAAGCTCACCATTCTATGATAGAAGACGAAGTGAATTTTGCTGTTTCCCAACCTGCTTCTAACACTGGTACAGCTGGTTGACCTTGGAGCCATTCTTTTTCTGTTTTTCTTGAGACGAAGTCTCCCATCACCCAGGCTGAAGTGCAGTGGAGCAATCTCGGCTCAGTGCAACCTCCACCTCCCAGGTTCAAGGGATTCTCCTGCCTCAGCCTCCCGAGTAGCTGGCATTACAGGCAAGCCACCACGCCCAGCTAATTTTTGTATTTTTAGTAGAGACAGGGTTTCGCCACATTGGCCAGGCTGGTCTCAAACTCCTGACCTCAGGTGCTCCACCCACCTCAGTCTCCCAATGCGGCATTACATTCGCGAGCTACCACGCCCGGCTGGAACAATTCTTGATCCTTTCTTCCTATGTTTTTGAAAAGCATAAATATACTTAACAATCCCTGGAAGTCCTTTAACAGAAGACTTTACTCCGTAGCAAATAATTCCTTCCTCCCAACTTTCTTACGATGATGACATACATGAGATGAAGTTCAGAATTCAAAAGCGACAGTGTTAGGTAAATTTTCTAGCGGTCCATCAATATATGCCATCATCATCAGGATTAGCAAAGACATGCATAATTACAATACAGGATTTTGCAAAAGCCCAGGCTGTACTCTAGAGCTTCAAATCCCTTTTTCTGCGAATCCATCTTTCCCAAAAGTCACAAATCTACATTCTAACTAGTTAAGGTGCATTAGGAAAAGTCAAGAAACAAAGCGCCTAGATAAAACACACCAGCAACAGATACACCTTCAATAGTGGACTGCGGTGAACCGTTCACACTGTGGACTCCTAATTCCCACAGCGCAGCTTCCTGCTGGCAGCAGGGGTGGGACCTGGAGGACCTACACATGCCACACTCAAATCTAGTCATGTGCTCTGAATCTTAAAATACACTCTTTGTTAAGGAGTAATACAGACCCCTTTTAAAGGTATCATATGGGGCCAGGCGCGGTGGCTCATGCCTGTAATCCCAGCACTTTGGGAGGTCAAGGTGGGTGGATCATCTGAGGTCAGGAGTTCAAGACCAGCTTGGCCAACATGGTGAAACTCCGTCTCTACTAAAAATACAAAAAATTAGCAGCGTGGCGGTGTGCACCTGCAGTCCCTGCTACTTGGGAGGCTGAGGCGCAAGAATCACTTGAACTGGGGAAGCAGAGGTTGCTGAGTGAGCTGAGATCACGCCACTGTACTCCAGCCTGGGCAACAGAGTGTGACTCCATCTCAAAAAAAAAAAAAAAGTATCAGATAGTAAGAAACATGTGATGATACTTAGGAAAAATTGGGAGCCAACATCTGATGAAGCTGATGGGGATTTTTTTTTTTTTTTTTTTTTTTTTGAGATGGAGTCTCACTCTGTCCCCCATGCTGGAGTGCAGTGAGGCGATCTCAGCCCACTGCAGCCTCCATCTCCCGGGTTCAAGCAATTCTTCCTCAGCATCCCAAGTAGATGGAATTACAGGAATATGCCACCACACTCAGCTAATTTGTTTGTATTTTTAGTAGAGATGGGGTTTCACCATGTTAACCAGGCTGGTCCTGAACTCCTGACCTCAGGTGATCTGCCCTCTGTGGCCTCCCAAAGTGCTGGGATTACAGGTGTGAGCCACCATGTCCAGCCGGAGATTTTATTTTTTATAGAGGAAAGCTAGTTTTCTGATCTTGCACATTAGCTGCCTAACCTTTCCCAAATGATCCTCAATTAGTCTTTGACTAAGGAGGCACCAAAAGCTCTGAAGAGAATTCAGCTCCCCCAGACACAATCAACAACTCCCTTGTGGCTTCCACATCTTGAGAATGTCCCACTGTACTTACCATAATGGTGTGTTCAGGAAATTTGGCACGGACGAGTTTCACAAATTCCACAAAATGTTCTGAATACCCATTGGCCACATCCAGGCAAATAAACTTAACCTGTGGCACTGCGTCCAGGATGCTGCTCATCTTTTCCAGATCGTTCTGCCCACTGCCTGAACTCACGGCTACGTGCTGCACCAAAATAAACCAAAAGGACAGGCATGAACAGTAGCATTCAGACATCAGACCCTGCCCCATCTGTACACCTATTCTGGGAGGGTACAGCAATCCTAATCAAATGCACAGTGCACCTGCTTCAGACACATGCAACAGCAGAGGTAAAGGGGATTCATTCATTAAATTACCTAAACTTTGGCCAGGCACAGTGGCTCATGCTGTAATCCCAGCACTTTGGGAGGCCAAGGCAAGCAGATCACCTGAGACTGGGAGTTCGAGACCAGCCTGACCAACGTGGTGAAACCCCGACTCTACTAAAAATACAAAAATTAGCTGAGCGTGGTGGCTCATGCCTATAATCCCAGCACTTTAGGAGGCCAAAGCAGATGGATCACCTGAGGTCAGGAGTTTGAGACCAGCGTGGTCAACGCAGTGAAACCCTGTGTGTACTAAAAATATAAAAATTAGCCAGGCGTGGTGGCAGGTTACTGTAATCCCAGTTACTTGGGAGGCTGAGGCAGGAGAATAGCTTGAACCAGGGAGGTGGAGGTTGCAGTGAGCCGAGACAGTGCCACCAGCCTGGGCAACAGAGCGAGATTCCACACCTCTCCCCCCCCCCCCCCCCCCCCAAAAATAGCTACTGGCATGAATGTGTCATATCAGGGAAACTCCAGGGAGGACAATGAGCGAGAACTAGTAAGTTTCCAGGAAGAAGGAAAAATGGCCAATCAATTCGGGCTTTCCCACATGAAAGCTGGGGTGTTCACCCTGAGTGCCTTGCTTGGGCAGCGAGTGAGAGGAAGGTATCTAAAATGCCTCTGATAAACTCCTATTTTTATTTTCTCTCCCAATAAAATACTAGCACAGCATGTGACATAGTTTGGATATTGTCCTCACCCAAATCTCATGTTGAAATATGATCCCCAATGCTGGAGGTGGGGCCTGGTGGGAGGTTTGGGTCATGGGGATGGATCCCTTATGAATAGCTTGGGCCATCCCCGTGGTGATCTCTCGGTCTGAGTCACAGGAGATCTAGTCGTTTAAAAGTGTGTGACCTCCCACCCTCTCTTTCTCTCACTCTCCCACTTCGTCTTCCATCATGGTTGGAAGCTTCCAAAGTCCTCCCCAAAAGCAGATGGTGGCGCTAGGCTTCCCGTACAGCCTGCACAGCCATTAGCCAATTAAGACCTCTTTTCTTTATAAACGACCCAATTTCAGGTATTTCTTTAAAACAATGTAAGACCAGCCTAATACAGCATGCACATCTCAGCCTGTTCACAGAACTGCAAATCTCTTTTCCTATTAAAGGGGTAAAATCTCCCAAGGTGTGAAAACAAGCCTGACATGATTGTTCACAATTGCACTTCTACGTGTTTAAATCTGAGGCCACCATTCCCGCTCCTGTAACACCCTCATCCCTTAGCTTCCACCAGTGCCCTTGAAGCTCACACCTCTCCCTTCTTTGAACATCTGCCCTTTGGAAAAGGGCTTATTTTCACTAATGTATGCCTTACTGAGACTAAGACATGGATTGTTTATATTTTAACTCTTATCTCTACACCCTGGGCCACCTGAGTGACATATCTTAATATCCTTTATGTTATTCCCCCAAATCATAACCACGTGGCTGCAGCCCCGGGGCTGAGTGTGAGCTGATGGGTAAATGACACATATTTACTCCAGCCTCCTCTGTGCATTCACGCCTGGGCCTCGTGGTTCACAGCTCTGCCCTGCGCCAGCCCAATCCACACGCCCACTCCCCGTGGCACTAGAGCTGCGCTTTTTCATCTGACTTCATTTTGTTAACTACACTATATGGAACTTGAGATTGGTTGCCTTCTCTCACTGCTCCTAAGTTTTTAACACGATCCCTTTTGCATTCACCTTTTATTTGGTGGCGGGGCAGTGAACTTACTAGTCCAGATATCACATTCGGTAATGAGGGCCACGGTTCCAGTTAACGATACATTGCCAAAAATTCCCTTAAAGAAGTTGGAGGGAAGCCAGGCGCGGTGGCTCACGCTCGTAATCCCAGCACTTTGGGAGGCTGAGGTGGGTGGATCATTTGAGGTCAGCTCGAGACCAGCCTGGCCAACATGGTGAAACCCAGTCTCTACCAAAAATATAAAAAATGAGCAGAGTGGGGTGGCACACACCTGTGATCCCAGCTACTCAGGAGGCTGAGGCAGGAAAATCACTTGAACCCAGGAGGCAGAGGTTGCAGTGAGCCAAGATCACGCCATTGCACTCCAGTCTGGGTAGCAAGAGCAAAACTGCCTCAAAAATAAATAAATAAATGTTGGAGGGAGGCCTAAGCAAAAGAAAAAAAATCATTATTCCCAAATTTACCATAGGGAAAAACAGAAAAAAGTGAAAATAAGCATAATTCACTTGAACACAGTATGGCAAAAACGAAGGACTTACTACTGAGTCAGAATGATTTTATCTCCAAAACCACTTTCTCACTAATCAAAATTAAAGCACAGTAACAGCCACCACCAAAAGCCAGTGAGACCTTGAAAACAGTACGATCTGAAGTCACTTTCCCATCATAAATCATCTGATCAGCAGGGAGCGGCTCTAACCAGGGAGACCTACCTGTGGCTTCAGCTCAGAACCCTGGAATGCGGAAGGAGGAAACGCAGGCGTGTTGCAGTAGGGCTTTTTGTTGTTTTTGAAACGCTTGGGTTTTTAACAGCTTTGTTGAAGTATAATGACATACCATACAACCCAGCCATTCAACACGCACAGTTCAATGATTTTTAGTATATTTAGAGTTCTGTAACCGTCATGATCGATTTTACATTTTCATAAACCTCCTAAAGGAAGTCCCATACTCCTTAACCACACTCCTCCCCCCCACTTCCTCAACCCCTCAGGCCACTAATCTATTTTATGACTTAGATTTGCCTATTCTGGACATTTCCTATAAATAAGATGGTAGACGCGTCTGGCCTTTGCATCTGGCCTTTTCCTTTTTCGAGACAGTTTCGCTCTCGTTGCCCAGGCTAGAGTCAAATCTCTGCTTGAATCCGCCTCCAGGATTCAAGCGATTCTCCGGCCTCAGCCTCCCAAGTAGCTGGGAGTACAGACCTGCACCACCTCGCCCGGCTAACTTTGGATTTTCAGTAGAGACGGGCTGTCTCCACATTGGTCAGGATGGTCTCGAACTCCCGACCTCAGGTTATCCGCCTGCCTCGGCTTCCCAAAGTGCCCGGATTACAGGTGTGAGTCACTATGCCTGGCCAGGTCTGGCCTTTTCACTTAGTGAAATGTCCTCCAGGTCAATCCATCCTGTAGCCCATGTCAGACGTTCATTCCCTCTATGGCTGAACAATAGCCCATTGCATGGATAGACCTTATTTTATGAGTCCTTTCACCCCCTAATACACATTTGGGTTGTGTCTACTTTTGAGCTATTATGAATAACGCTGCTGTGAACATTCATATTCAAGTTTTTCTGTGGACATGTGTTAATTTCTGTTGGGTCTACACCTAGAAGTGGAATTGCTGGGTCGTATGGTAACTCTTATGATTACAGTTCTGAAGAAATGATAGCTGTTTTCCAAAGCAGCTACACCATTTCTCATTCCCAGCAGTGAATAAGGGTTCCAATTTCCCCACATCCTCAACAATTATTTTCTTTTTTTAAAATAGAGATGGGGGTCTCACTGTGTTGACCAGGCTAGCCTCGATCTCCTGGGTTCAAGCAATTCTCCCACCTTGTCATTCCAAAGTCCTGGGATTACAGGCATGAGCCACCGTGTCTGGCTAATTATCTGTCCTTTTGATGATAGCGATCCTAGTGGAAACGTTGTTGTTTACTGAACTCTAAAACACTTTGTTAGAAGTTTTTTCTACAGCCCAAAGACTAGATCTACCTTGGAGTACCTGGCAGGAAACACAGGTCTTTCCCAAGCTCTTGGGACATAACCATTCCTCTTTCAAGAGAAAATGGACATTTCTTACAGATAAATGCTAGTATTTTAATAACACGATACAGAAACGAGTTTCCTCAGCAAATCCCTGGCAATGGCACGGGGCTGGAGAAGCAGCGAACTCTTTACGACTCTCTGCTACTGCCTGAAATCCTCTTGACAGCTCTGAAGATGTAGGTCCCCCTGCAACACTGAAGCGATCATCAGGCTGTGGTCCTACCTGCAGGCATTCCGGGTGATTTGTGGCAAAGAGCTTCCAGTCATCCAGGGAGTAATGCTTATGAATTGCTGTAAACATGGAGTGCTAGGAAACAAAACAGCACCATTAGGATGAGAAGCCAAGTGCAAGCCCCCCGCCTCCATCTGGAGGTGGTAATCCCACCAGACAAAGGCATCAGTGTTCCTGCCATTCATGCTTGATTTGCTTTGAGTGTGCTCCTAGCAGCCATAACCAGACAAAGGTACAACCATTGAAATCACAAAACCCCGTTTCCCATTCTAATCTGATTAGGCATTGCTGCATTCAGCACTAAGGAGGCTCCGCCAGCAGGGAGGAGACGGATAAAAGAGAATTCTCAGAGCCCTGCCCAGCCCACCCAGGCTCCCACTCACACCTGCATTAGGTCAAAAGCAGCACAGATGGTCCAAAGAGAGACCCATGCAGCAGGTCCACCGCCCAGGAGAAGGGCCATCCTAACACAAACTTCTTCTTAGCCAACCCTGAAGAACCTTACCTGATACCTGAAAGCTTTCTTTTGTATTCACAACCTGAACACTTCTTGCTAAAAGGTAAATCCATCGGGCAGCTGGTATTCTTGAGGGTGGGAATGATATAAAGTGTAGCCCTAAATCTATGATATTGCTCCTGCGTTTGTGTCAGTCTTTCCCACCTATCATTTCATTTAGTTTTTGGAACAACTTTGAACAGTATTATTATCATTATATGAGATGGAGTCTTACTCTGTCATCCAGAGTAAGACTGGAATGCAGTGGCATGATCTTGGCTCACTGCAACCTCCGTCTCCTGGGTTCAAGTAATTTTCCTACCTCAGCCTCCTGAGTAGCTGGGATTACAGGCACCTGCCACCACGCCCAGCTAATTTCTGCATTTTTATTAGATATGGGGTTGGCCAGGCTGCTCTCGAACTCCTGACCTCAGGTGACCCGCCCGCCTTTGCCTCCCAAAGTGCTTGGATTACAGGCGTGAGCCACTGCGCCTAGCCTGAACAGTATTAGCAGCTTTGTGGGCAGAAATGGAGCTGAAGAAATTTAAATTGGCCAGGCACATACGGGATCACGCCTGTAATCCCAGCACTTTCAAAGGCCAAGGCAGGAGGATTGCTTAAGCCCCGGAGCTCAAGACCAGCCTGGCAACATGGCAAGATCCCATGTCTATTTAAAAAACAAGAAACATTCAAACTTACAAAATTTGCTGGGCATGGTGGCACACACTTGTAATCCTAGCACTTTAGGACGATGAGACGGGTGGATCGCCTGAGGTCAGGAGTTCGAAACCAGCCTATCATGGTGAAACCTCATCTCTATTAAATACAAAAAATTAGCCGGGTAGGAGGGTGCACACCTGTAATCACAGCTACTCGGGAGACTAAGGCAGGAGAATCACTTGAACCCAGGAGGTTAAGCTTGCAGTGAGCCAAGATCATGCCATTGCACTCCAGCCTGGCCAACCAGAGCAAAACTCCATCTCAAAAAAAAAAAAAAAAAAAAAAAAAGCTTACAAAATTTAACAACTGCTACAAACTTTAACAAGCGCACAGCCAGGAAGAGGTAGAGGCCAGAGTCAAACTCGGATCTGACTACGGAGATCGGAGACCCAACCTCGTATAGAACAGAAGCCTCCCACCTAACTTCTCTGGGCTGCCTGTGTTCCATCTACAGCTTCTCATTCTAAACTTCTATGACTTTAGTAACTTGCACTAGCTCCGTGGATCCTAGAAACAGGAAATTCACAGTAGCCACCCATGGTTAGCTACACCAGCCTACGCTATTCCGTCAGTAGGGAGACTTCCTAGGAAAATGGGAAGAGCACAGCAAGTTCTAGATTTTCCCTGGATTATAATCTATTACCTGAATTAATCAGACTTGATAGTTCCCTGGTTCCCCTTGCTTTTTTACTAACACGATTCATTAGTAGCAATGGCTGATGACAGAGCAGAGCACGGAGAAGGTAAGGAGAAAAAAATACCAGTTCCTTAGCAATTAATTTATTAGCCTCTGGCCCAATGCTCAGGAGGGGCTGAGGTCTGACAGAAAATACCAGTGATCATGGAGTTGGGCGGACCACCTCTACTCCATTTTTGGAGCTCATAATTTGAGAATCTTTTCCTTCGAATCACCGGCTAATAATGAATCTTAGCATCTCCTGTGGTTAGACTTGCTGCCCACAGTGAGAAACACTCCAAACTAATTGGATTTATTTTTTCACTTGGCAGGTATTATCCACAGGAGAGACAGAACCCGAGTGCAGCAGACATTCCACACTGAGGATGCAGAAGACGCTCTGCACCTCACCCATAAAGCTCCTGCCCACCAACGGGGTTTCCTTTATTTTTCCCAAAGCCAGGACACTCTTTTTAATTTAATTTTAACCAACAATGCTTCTCAGATTGATCTACACAATGAATTTTTTTTTTTTTTTTTTGAGACAGGGTCTTGCTCTGTCACCCAGGCTGGAATGCAGGGGCGCAATCTTGGCTCACTGCAACCTTCGCCTCCCAGCTCAAGTGACCCTCCCACCTCAGCTTCCCGAGTAGCTAGGACCACAGGCTCACACCGCCACACCCAGGAAATTTTTGTGTTTTTTTTGTAGAGATGAGGCTTCACCATGTTGCCCAGTCTGGTCTTGAACTCCTGAGCTCAAGCAATCCGCCTGCCTCTACCTCTCCAGATCCTGGGATTACAGGTGTGAGCCACTGCGCCCAGCCAAAGTCAGGATACTACCTACCCTCTTTATAGAAAATTAGGCCAGTGTAGTTGGCTAAAACAGACCTTGAGCATGTACTATGATCTGTCCCTTTAAGTTGAGAGGTAAATTCCTTAAATTCTAAAGTCAGTTTGGGTTGGAATCCTGATTCTCTCTCTGTATATATCTGGCTAAGGGCCTAGGACAACTTACCTGCCCTTCCTCTCTCTGCCTCAGTTTCCTCATTTGTAAAAGGAACCCATCTTGTTGAGTTGTGTCAATAATTAAGAGATACAGCTCCCCCCAACAAAAAAAAAAAAAAAAAAAAAGAGATACAGGCCAGGCACGATAGCTCAAGCCTGTAATCCCAGCACTTTGGGAGGCTGAGGCAGGCGGTTCACCTGAGATCAGGAGTTCGAGGCCAGCCTGGCCAACGTGGTGAAACCCCATCTCTACTAAAAACACAAAAATTAGTCAGGCATGGTGGCAAGCACCTGTAGTCCTAGCTACTTGGGAGGTTGAGGGAGGAGAATCATTTGAACCAGAGAGTGGACACTGCAGTGAGCCAAGATCACGCCTCTGCATTCCACCCGGGGAAAAAAAAAAGAAGCTTTCTTAAAAAAAAAAAAAAAAAAAAAAAAGAATTAAGAGATACATTATGTGCAGTGTTCCGCACATGAGCGCCCGATACATGTATTTGGCATAATTATACAGTAAATGCTGCAGCAGACTGCATACAAAACAGCTCTGCCTTCATTTCAAAGGGACTGTCATTTTTCTGCAATATGGCACTCTTCATGTTGTCTAGCTTCTCTTTGTATCTCTAACTTGCAAAACTATCACTGTCTCTTTCAGAGAAGCCATGAATTCAGATCTAGACCACCTCACTGAACACAATGCCCAGACATGGTCCACTTTCTGACTGACGGGGGAGATAGAGGATGACCCAAAGCGTCTCACATTTCTACTCTGCCCTGCGTCTGAATAAAGCTAGGGTGGGCTCCTGATAACTTGTCCATGTTGAGAGCAGCAAAGGGAAAAAGTAAAAGCCTACCGCCTCACCTGTGACATCACAGCTGCCATCTCAAATGTGCCCACAGTGTCCATGTTGGCCACGATGATGGGAATCCCTGCGTAGGTCTGCTTTGAATTTCGAAACGTGAAGGTGCGTTCAAGATCCACCTGTTGGCAAAAAAACAAACAAACAAACAAAAAAAACCAAAAACCAAACGGGAAAGAAATGAGTGCTTTGCTCTTATGTGAAATGTACAGAATTTCTGGAGTTTGGAGCGAGTAGGAACAATACAAAGGTCCCTGGGCGCTCTTAGGGGTGAAAGACAGGTATTCCAAAGACACTGGAGTCCCCAAGGAAACCAAGTAACACACTGGATCCAGGCGCAAAAGCTGAAATGGGCTCCTCACCCTCCCTTGATCAAGCACCAGCAGAAGGCACTAGAAATTCCACCGAGACAAGCCCACGGATCGGAAGCTCTCTCCTCCTTTCCCAGCCTCTCCAATCCCACAGCCGTCTTCTATCCGCATCCCAGAAGACCCACATATATGTTATCTTCTCCCCACTCCCAAGGCCTGGAGAAACCACTCCCCTCATAGGAGCACCTCCCCACTCTTCCTTGCCAACCACTGCCCTCCTCCTGAGCAGTCCCCACTTCTTACCTTTCACCTAGAGCCATCCTCTGAATTCCCCTGCAGTGAGCGCCACACCACTACCCCCTGGCCTTTCGCCCTCCACAGCTGCTTTAATGATGAGCATCTTTCAAAAAGCTGGTGAAAAGTACCTTGCACCCGTATGTTCCCATGTATCAGCACTTGTTCCTTGGATTTGCAAGGGGCTGGAGGGTTGGGGGGAGGCCCAGTTTGCCTGTAACTTCAAGATCAGGGCACGTAGGACTAACCTTGCTCTTGGCAATCCAGAACAGCAGCACAGACACAAGGGTGGGCCTGGCAGAAGCCGCGTGCTACAGCCAGGCCCTCACCAAGGGCTAGCAGAGTCCAAATCACTTCTCTGACCCAGGGCAGGTGCCAGCCTGTCTGCCCACCCACCAACCTCAGCCTGCTCTTATCCCAGGAAGGCTACCTCCTACAGGCTCCATTTCTCCAGTTCCTTCCTGGCTGGGATTGGCCAATGGAGGACTCTGGGTGGGAAACTGGCGGACAATGGCAGGGAGAGGTGGGGAGACGCCGCGGTAGCTCTCTCAGAACCCCTCTGTTAGGCAGCTTCTCCAGGGCAGCTCCACTGCCCCCAGGCCTGGAAAGGCCCACATGTTCCTTGTTCCAGCTTTCCCTAAGGAGCCCAGTCCATTCCTGGGCTCCAGAACACCGCCTCCTCCCTCTGACCCTCACCCTAGGGTGGGGTGGCTTCTTGTTGTTGCTGATCTCTGGGGTACCTCAATATCCTCAGTTGTGTGAGGATGCCCTGAATTCAATTCTATGTTTTCAACAGTCGGCACTGTTTGTTTCTCTGGCTGGACTCTGATGGACGCAGACCACATTAGAAGTGGGTGCTTCCCCAAGGGGAGCCAGCCAGAGGAACATAGGTGGGAACCGAATGCTTCTGAAGTAACTCAGACCTACATTAACCCTGGCTTCATGAATACACCGGCAAGAGTCATTTTCCTTCCTTTCTTTCCTTCTCCTCCCCTTCTTTCTTTCTTTCTAAGATGGAATCTCACTTTGTCACCAAGGCTGGAGTGCAGTGGCGTGATCTTGGCTCACTGCTACCTCTGCTGCCCAGGTTCAAGGGATTCTCCTGCCTCAGCCTCCCGAGTAGCTGGGATTACAGATGCCTGCCATCGTGCCTGGCTAATTTTTGTATTTTTAGTAGAGACAGGGTTTTACCATCTTGGTCAGGCTGGTCTTGAACTCTTGACCTTGTGATCCACCGGCCTCAGCCTCCCATAGTGCTGGGATTACAGGCATGAGCCACTGCACCGAGGCAGCAAGAGTCATTTTCTCCCAGTGTTTATCGAGATATTTCTTTTATTTTTTTTCACTTAAGACAACGTGCACTCTGCAATCAGCATGAAGTCAGAAAACACCATGGATAGCTCAGGCCCTTTAGCCTTTTCATTTCTCTTGCTTCTCAACACAGGGTTCCGTGTCCAGAAAGCGTCCTGGGTGAGCGACATCATAAACATACTGCACAGGCCTCACACAGCCACCAATGAGGGAAAATGAGATGTGGTAAGGGCACGAACCTGCCCACTCTCCACTCCCTTCATGACGACTCTGGGTTCTACCTCAGCGGAGCATGCGATGGCAGCATTCTGAAAGAGAACTGAAGGGCTCTACCCACTGCAACCTGCATGCGGCTAATGGCCCTCTATCATTTGGCTTCGCACGCTTGAAATGATCAGAATTCCTTGGTCTCAAATTACTCTTCTATCCTCCAACAGGCACGGGGCTAGCAGCCGCACTGCACCCGGCTGAGATCACAATGGGTTTTTCTTGGCACTCCAAAACCTATCAGCAGGACACAAAACATAGAGCTCTTAATGGAAAAGGGCAGCCTTAACGGGAAACTCTGCCCCTCGTTTCCAGTCCTTTTTATGAGGTAGCTCTTTGCCATCCTTAATTCTAAGAATGAGAAATAAAATGGTCGTCCCCAACTTGACCCGCCCAGACACACACACCTGAATAGCCCAGACCAGTTGTTCACTACCAGAGATAAACATTTTGAATATTTCAGCCTTGCAGGAATGCTTGGCACTGAGTCCGGCACAGCCGGCCAATACGCCAAATATAGATTTGATTCCCTGAGCCTGACCTGAAAGGGAACATAAAGTAACAACCCCTCCCCAACCCTCCCCCCACATCTCTGCTGCTCTCTAACAGGCCTTCATTAAAGCCAGTCCTACCACCCAACATGTCAGGGGTTCAGAGGTGCATGCGCGCCAGCATGGTGGCTCACACCTGTAATCCCAGTGCTTTGGGAGGCTGAGGCAGGCAGATCACTTGAGCTCAAGCATTCAAGACCAGCCTGGGCAACATGGTGAAACCCCGTCTCCATGCAAAATATAAAAAACTAGCGAGGCTTGGGTGGTGTGAGCCTGTAATCTCAGCTACTCAGGAAACTGACGTGGGAGGACTGACTGAGCCTGGGAGGTTGAGGCTGCAGTGAGCCACGATCATGTCACTGCATGCCAGCCTGAGTGACAGCGCGAGACCTTGTCTCAAAAATAATAAATAAATAAATAACAGAGGCCCACCTGCCACATTCCTAAATAATTCAATGTGATCAGTCCAATGAACAAATGGCTACTTATAAAATAGGTTCTAACCTCCTGTCCTAAAAAAAAAATTTCATTCACAACCAAACGGCTACATAAAATAGGTTCTGACCTCCTACCCTAAGAAAACAACTTCATTCACAACCAGAGAGGCAGCATGACATGGCAGCGGGGAGCTGGTCCTGGCCCAGTCCACCCCTCTTCCCTTCTCGCCCCAATCCTTATGTGTGCAAGATGAACAGCCCCCACCTTCGGTCTGCAAATGAAGCTCTGTGCATACCACCTACCTGCCCACCAACATTGTCGCGTGCCCACCCTTGGGTTGCAGGTGAGCACGCCAGCAGCCTGGGTGGCCCTTGGAACACCCCAGCGCAAGAGGCCCATGCAGGCCAAGAATCAGCTCACCTGGGGAAGGATATCCAGGATCCTGAGTACCTGGAGCATGGCCTAAGGAACAGCATAGCCCACAGGCCCTACCCAGTGAGGAGGGATGCAATTAGGGGACAGACCTAATTGCATGGACCCAGGTTGCAGGACCCAGGACATGGGCTTCTTTTTCTAGATCTACAGATAGCACCGAGTAATACAATTCTTTTTTTTTTTTAAGATGCAATTTTGCTCTTGTTGCCCAGGCTAGAGTACAATGGCGTGATATCGGTTCACTGCGACTTCTGCCTCCCAGGTTCAAGCTATTCTCCTGCCTCAGCCTCCTGAGTAGCTGGGATTACAGGAATGGGCCACCACGCCTGGCTAATTTTTGTATTTTTAGTGGACATGGGGTTTCTCCATGTTGGTCAGGCTGATCTCAAACTCTGGACCTCAGGTGATCTGCCCACCTCGGCCTCCCAAAGTGCTGGGATTACAGGCGTGAGCCACTGCTTCCAGCCCAGCAATTCTTTTATTTTGTACTTTATTATATAATCTATTCCACAGTTTGCTCATTATCTGCCTCACCTGTCTGAGTACAGGGACAATGTCTTCCAACTTTGTAGTCCTAGTGGGGCTCAAAAAGCGTGGGATAAACTAGTGCACAGCTAAAAGGTAAGAAGTATACGACATTCTGGGCCTCAGCCTTTTGCAGTGTTTGGTGGCCCCAGCCCAGACCTTTTCGTGTGGATCCAAGCCCTGGGAGCTCACCACCAGTTGTCAAGCTCATGAGAAGCTTGTGCCCAGCTGCAGTGCTACCAGCAAGGGCAGGCTTCCACAAACAAGAAGGGCTTCAGAGGCTGGCCCAGCACGCCTGAGTGCACATTGGAATCCTCTTAGAAGTGGTTCCATTCATTTCGTTTCCTATGGTTTCCAATTAATCATTCCTTCACTACTTTTGGGAAAGACACGGGATAGTGAGCTCTGTCAGAGTAGTAGGTAGATAGCTAGACATGGACAGGAGGGGAGCTCCTGGGAAAGGGAAAGTCTGCGAAGGCTCACCTGGAGGGAACACCAAAAATTTACATATTAGTAGCATCTCTAATGCTGGAGTGGCTGGGAACTTGTCAGTCTTGGGTAGGAGGAAGAAGAGGTACCTATGCAGAAAGAAATATTCTAGAACCCTAAAACAGATTTACAAGAAAAAAACAAGCAAGCCCATTCAAAAGTGGGCAAAGGATATGAACAGACACTTTACAAAAGAAGACATACATGAGGCCAACAAACATATGAAAAAATGCTCATCATCACTGGTCATCAGAGAAATGCAAATCAAAACTACACTGAGATACCATCTCACGCCAGTTAGAATGGCGATCATTAAAAAATCTGGAGACAACAGATGCTGGAGAGGATGTGGAGAAATAGGAACACTTTTACACTGCTGGTGGGAGTGTAAATTACTTCAACCATTGTGGAAGACAGCGTGGCGATTCCACAAGGACCCAGAAATAGAAATTCCATTTGACCCAGCAATCCCATTACTGGGTATATATCCAAAGGATTATA